CTGACAACACCTACCTATGGAGACCTCAACCACCTGGTATCAGCCACCATGAGTGGGGTAACAACCTGTCTCCGCTTCCCTGGCCAACTCAATGCTGACCTCCGTAAGCTGGCCGTCAACATGGTGCCCTTCCCCCGCTTACATTTCTTCATGCCAGGCTTTGCGCCCCTCACAAGCAGGGGCAGTCAGCAGTACCGTGCCCTCTCTGTGCCAGAGCTCACACAGCAAATGTTCGATGCCAAGAACATGATGGCAGCCTGTGACCCTCGTCATGGACGCTACCTCACTGTGGCAGCCATCTTCCGTGGCCGTATGTCAATGAAGGAAGTGGATGAGCAGATGTTGAGTGTGCAGAACAAGAACAGCAGCTACTTTGTTGAATGGATTCCCAACAATGTCAAGACAGCCGTTTGCGACATCCCTCCCCGTGGCCTCAAGATGTCCGCCACCTTCATTGGTAACAGCACGGCCATCCAGGAGCTGTTCAGGAGGATCTCGGAGCAGTTCACAGCCATGTTCCGCCGCAAGGCCTTCCTCCACTGGTACACCGGAGAGGGAATGGATGAGATGGAGTTCACTGAGGCCGAGAGCAACATGAATGACCTGGTTTCTGAGTATCAGCAGTACCAGGATGCCACTGCTGATGAGATAGGTGAATATGAAGAAGATGAAATAGAGGATGAGGAAGAAGTCCGCCAAGATGTTCGCCACTGATTGTAAAACACTGACATGACACTCTGAGTGACCCAGTCCCTCAAAATATTAATCGTTGTTGGACAAGAGCAGTGAGATCATAAGAAGTATGCTAGAGATGCAGATGTTCAACTAAATATTGCAGTGTGCACATCATGATGAAATATGTCTGTTTAGCCAAAATTACATTGCATATAGATAAGGCTTCTACTGACAAAGATCATGAGTGGTGTTAGAACCTCAAAATATGCAAGTACCATAGTAATTGGTTTTCCAAGTCATGCTTTGCCACTATCAAAAACAAGTGCAGTCTTGTCCTAAATACAGTTTTGTAACATTTACTTCAACATGCATTCACTGTCTCAAGTCTCAAATAAAAACTCCAGTCCTGTCAATAATACTGTCATGTCATGTTTTTATTTGATAGATATACAGGTATAAATGTAAGTAAAGGTGAAATTGATCTTCATTTATCACAATATAATTGCTTGTTTTAGTTGTTCTATGCAATATTACATATAGATCCTCTGTATACAACCCTGTCTTCTAGAAATTACATTTGTATATAACCAAATTCTTAATAATAATTACATTGTATTGACAATGTAGTACCTTCCAGGATTATGTTTAGAGACAACTGCTTGAGACATCCTTTGTTACGGGAGAGATCTAGTGATATTTATATTTTTATAATTGTCAACAAATCCCATAAAAACCCCAAACACAAAACAAAACAACACAACACACTGAAGCTATCTATACTATCAGGTATTGTATGTGTATCAAAAACCTGATAGCTTTGTACCATCCATCGTAAATAATTTAAAAGCTATCAATGAACCGCCCAGCTGACATGTTCCTTCATTACAATGAACATGGGCATTGTAGTGTATTTTGAGTCAGTTCCATATACACAGTGCAATATATACAGGTGCTAGCGTACCAAATCCACAGCTGAAAAATAGTCCCCAGCAAATGCAATGTTTATTCCTTTTTGAGTATAGCTTTTGCTAAAACTAAGTGTCAAGCTGTTTAGGAAATTACTTATAATTTTAATTAAGACCATAGGAAATAATAGACTTGGGTGAGTGTCACAGAGACAACCGCCTTGTAGTTTTTTGTATTTTTATGGAATTTGTTGACAGTTTGTTAAAAAAAAACATGTACAGAGACAAACAGCAACCTCTATCAGATACATTTAGCAATTTATGAAATTTAGCAACTCTTAAAAGAATCTTCCTTTATGGGAGGCAAGGAAGTCTTGATCCTTCGTGTCATTCTACCAATATGTGTCAGACTGACACAAATAAACAGGGAGGAGCCCAGTGACAGTTAAATAAATAAGTCTGTACAGAAAAAGCGGAGAAAGAATTTCAAAACACACATTTATCACAATTTCAGCTATGTAATCTACGGAGTACGGAGCCCCCGAGGTGACATGAGAAAAAAAAAAAAAGTGACGAGAGAAGAAAAAAAAAAAAATTGAAATAAAAAAAAAAAAAAAAAAAAAAAAAAAAAAAAAAAAAAAAAAAAAAGCATTGCGAGATCTTGGCTTTGAAACTCGAGATCTCGACTTTGTAACTCGAGATCTCAACTACATATATACAGCGCCCCCCGTCCGGACCCCGGGGCCGTGGACTAAGTGCTCGCTGCGTAAAAGGCGTCAGGGGTCTGCGGCGAGGTCGGCAACCCACCCGACCCGTCCTGAAACACGGACCAAGGAGTCTACTTGCCACATAACGCACGCGGGAGTCAGAGGGTGAAGCAAAACCCCGGGGCGCAATGAAAGTTTGAACTCGAGATCTCGACTTACAAAGCCAAGGTCTCGCAATGCTTTTTTTTTTTTTTAATTTTTAATTCTTTATTTTTTTTTTATTTGAATTTTTTTTTTTTCTCGTCACTTTTTTTTTTTTCTCATGTCACCTCGGGGGCTCCGTAGTAATCCACACCATGAAGCTGATATGATGCTCAAGACATTTGAGCACACAGAAAGTGGCTGTTAAACTATTCAAGTGTTGACATATGTTATACTTCTAGCCACACCCCAGTCATGGCTGTGAAAGCAAGGCATTTCTGTTTGACAGATGATGGAAAAAAACGTGCTTTGACATGACTGATGGCCAAAAGAATAAATCTTAGACAAAATGAGATTGTATTGGAGAAACAGGAAAAAATTTTCATACACAGCCGACTTTTCAGTCTTAAATTTGATGTAAATCGTGATGTAAATCTTCTCCTCTTGTTTTGGAGAAATTAAGAGCAAAAGCAAATATTAATTTAAAAAAACGTATCAAAGAAGAAAGACAAGAACAGCAGAATAAGGTCTTATAAGAAGTGTAAGAAGATATGACAAGGAGTTATTTCTGTTTGGGGAAACAAAAGCTTTTATATTTTCTTTTATTCTTTTATATATGTCCTGAGAACCAGTTCATGCTCTGTACATACATATTCATTATTTATTTTCCCCAACAAAACAGGAAACTCATTCTTAGTTTAACCTAGACTCTGTATTCGTTATTTGCTCATAAGTACGTGACCTCCACGCCCGGTGGAGGGTACATACCTTAGTGACAGTGGGATAATAAGGCCCTTCTTTACCTGCTCTGATTACTGAGCAGCCTCTATGACACAGATTCACTCTGCAGTACTCATATTTTTATTTGAACGATGGCATTTTTCTTACAAGGGAAATTATAAAGAAGATGCATTAGAATACTAAAATATACTTAAACTGCATTCTGACGCTTTTTACATATAGCACACATTAACTCTGTTGATTACATAACGGGTTGTCTGACACGAGATAGTGGTAGAACATGTTCTTTGACTTTTGTGCATCTTACATTCCTACACTTCTGAGCCTGTGGTTATGGATTTTATCTTTTAATGCAAACATTTTAAAAAGGCAAATAGCTAAGTCTTAGGCTTTTGCCCAGCCAAATCTCAATTATAACCACTCTTTTTTCAGACTTTATCTGCTTAGTAAATTACTTGTATACTAATCAGTCACAGAAACCTGATTACCCACTTTCTCTCCTTTGTCTACGTAAAGCATGACAGAATCTTTTATCTTTTAGTCAGCAACAAAGACACCCATTGTATCTGTTCTACATAGGCAGGCTGCTATCTACCAGGAAAAGGTAGCAAACTCCTCAGTTTAACCTCACTGAATGAAGCATGTTTTAACTGACAAAGAAATATGCAGAGTTATAGGCCAGAAATTGATTTTATGTTTTGAACCTGGCAAAACTCCACATTCTGTATCTGAATGGTTTCCGTATGTGCATTTAACAGTTAGCATGATGTCATCGTCAACTGGGGCTACAAGTTTGAAAATGAAAATCTGTGAAGTGTGCAGTTAAAAGCAGGTGAGTTTATCAGACATCTGTAGGCCACGCCTCATTTCAACTTTCTACATTAGCCGCTGCTAGCACAACATACCTAATTCTCTGACCGGTCTGTTGATGGTGTTTTGACAAGGAAAAAGAATATGTGGAATAAAAAAATACAGTACATCTGGTTCTGCTACATTGATTCTGATCCTTTTTTATAAGCAGTCCATCATGAGGCTGGCAATTTTAATTAAGACACTACGCGGAATGTCATCCAAACACTTCCCATGCACACGTAGGTGGTCTATTTTAACATTCTGGACAGTCAAATGGGTCAACTTAAGTCTGCAGCGTTGTGTATCGTATTAAAGTATAGTGAAATGACCGTCTGAGCTCAAGTGTCTGATTTCTGATGTGAAATACTTACACTATCTCTACTGTAATGTAGTAAATTAGCCTGTTCCCATATAATCTCTTAAATATCACAGTAGTGTGAAAACAGAAAAAGGGTGAATACAACAGCTTTTTTCTTATTGATTTTATTATGACAGAAGGTGAAAAACTGAAAAAAAATTATTAAATGAAAAATGTTCCTTTCCTCATTACTATGTTCACTACTGCTACTTTAGTATTGTACTGTTTATACAGCATAGCATACAGCAACAAGCAGTACGACATATTAGAAACTAGACATGAAAAAAAAAATATATATATATATCAATAGCAAGAACAGCAGTATCAAACAGTTTCATTTTATCAAATGTTTTCAGTGCTTGGCAAGCTAATCCTTAATTACTTTGCCAGTCCACATACCCAAATTATGTTATCTCTACACCCACACACAAACACACAGAAGCATATTAAAAGTCTATCTGGTAATTTTTACACAATATAAATTTGTGAAAATAGGCCATCATGCTATTGCACACAATTTTTACAGCTTTGGCACTTAGATCTCTCTGAGTTAACACTTTATATTCTGTAGAAATAATAAAAAAAGAGTGCAACAATAAAGTAAAGAATTTGTCTTGTATTCTCTTCTTCGGTTTATGGTATGTAATGACTATGTGGTCTACTGATAAAAAGTAATTCTTTCTTGGCAGACTAAATCATTCAAACCCTTTGGCTTTGGTTGTTCTGCAGAGGGTGCTTTCCTTGTTTTTACAGTACAAACAGCATTTACTTATCAATGTCCCACGCAGTTTCCAAAGAAGCAGTGGCCGCCCATATAACAATCCCCGATTAGTCACAGTACAACTAAGTAAAGAAATCTAAAGGTCAACAAAACAGCTCATGGCAAGGCTAAACTAAATGCAACCAAAGCATCTAAAGAAACACCATACTAAAAATACAGTACTCAGAGCACTGAATGTAGAGTTCAAAGTCTGTATGGATAAATGCAACATTATAGTAGCTATAGAAACATTCTGTCACTCTGAATAGTTTTGTGCTTCTTAAAACTAATGGTTTAGAGTCATTTTACAGGATTATTTGCAAGTGATAGAAGATTTGGAAATTCTATAAACATAACATTACATTTAACTGCTTTGTGTTGTTCAAATGTAGAAAAGCAAGTCAGATTTTAAGCCCACATTGATCATAACTGTAGGAGTTTAATAAGAGTATTGAGCCGTACCCATGAAATAACTATTTGCTAAATGCTGACATATTTGGTTTTTAAAATTAATTTTCCATTTTTTATATCCAGTGTGATAACCGTGTGAGACTTTTTCCATTTGGCTAAATGTCCCACTAAGTGTTGCTGTGTTACAACCTATAATCTTTTTTTTCGCCTTGCACTGGTGAATTACATGTTCTGTGTTTCTCTCTCCTCCTGTTCTTATTTGGGTCTGGATTTATCTGAGCTGCAGTAGGATGGAAAGATTTGATTGTGTAGGCGAGTCCATGCTTGGGATTGGTTCCCAGTTGCACCCTCCACTAACGTAAGCCGAGCTGAAAACAGTTGTGGGGTTCCCTTCCTTCTCTAGCCTGGTAGGCTGGGAACTGGAATAGAAAGAGAACTCGCTGATCTGATATAGACCTTCTTCATCATATTGCAAATACTCTAGCAGGCACTGACTTGAGGCTAACTGGTACCTATAGGGCGGGTAACCTCTGCTTTTTACAGTTTCTGGAGATAAGGTCAGAAGTTTGTAATTTTAGCTTGATAGGTACGTACACACTGAAGGTCTGACTGGTTTAGTTCTGTAATGTTTACTTTGGCTGCTCCCGCCCTGAACCCAAGCCTACTTGTGTGCTTGAAATAAATACAGTGCTTTTAGGGCTGTCAGTTGGTGCCTAACTGGGCATTCTTATCACACTTAATTTTTTTTGCCAAGGCTTTCCCTCAGCCCACGTATTATGACACAGCGTAACCCAGGGGTCTCTAACCTTTTTTAAAGGGGGGGTTCCTAAAGGGAGAAAATTGTCAGAAGGGCAACTCCATTCTTGACGAACATTCATGTTAAATGAATCCTTTCAATAGAAAAACATAGTCTCAATATACTTTTTTAAATTAATAAAAGCAAATCAGCAATGTATTTAAATGTTTTGGAGCAATGGAAGCTATTTGTACATTTCCTTGCCAACATTTTTAAGAATAAGTTTGCTTTACACTAATACTGTGAGCTATACGCTTTCAACTAATGTTGACAGAGCCTCATTTTAGCAGGTAGCTTAGCCTATTTTCCAAAACAGTGTCCGTATGGGAATCCAATGCTTTTTCTGGCTTGATGTTTATGTGGTCAATACCGTGTTTTAACTACTATAAGCAGTAATGTTATCACTACAGTGCAATATTGCACTTTTGATCAAGCAGGCTAAACTATCCTTTTACCAGTTTTACCAGTAGTTTTTTGTTTTTTTTATTGCAGTATATTTTAGTATACTGAAATATATTTCGGTATATATCTTAACAAGTGTGACAATAGTGTATATGCAAAACAAAATGCTTACTTTACGCTCTTGTAGTAGACTCAGTATTCCTCTCAGTCACTGAGACCTTCTTATGTTGCATAACCACTCTCTGGCTTCCTTGCAACTTGGGTGTGGCTGTTAGGGCCTCATTTGACCCTAGAGAACTGCGCGGACCCAGTGAAAAACTCTGAGTTGTCACCTGAGTACCTTGGCCTCTGACCTCCAAACCCTGCTCTGTTGACCCGTGTCCAGTCTGAACAAAGCCTTGTGCTATGTGTGCACCTTGCTCTCCCCCCGAAGACCCATTTTCTACCAACAACACCTGTCTGGACCTGGAGATGGTTCCTTGTGAAAGGCCTTGTGCTACCTGTCCTGTCACCCCACCCATTCCTACTTGCCTATCTACAACGACCAAACCCTGCGAACCTTGGAGGCCACCAACCTGCACCAGCCCCTGACTGAGCCCAACTTGGCCTACTTGACCCACTGCCTGCTGGGCGCCCCCTGCCACAAACACAACTTGTGGCTTGGGATCTACTACATACATGGGCGTGGTAGCATAATACATAGTGGGCTGCTGTATGAGCAGTGTCTGGCTGGGAATCACTATCTTGTCCTGGACGTGTGCCTTGGAAACAGTGGCTGAATCGTGAGCTCTCTCAGTAATGCGCTCCTCCTGGATAAAGGTGGAAGATCCAGATGCTACATTGGAAGTGTTGAGGGTGTTGATGTCGATGTGGTCTCTATCCCTGATTGTTTCTCTGTTAGTATGGATGTGTGTGTGGGTGGAGGTGGAGGGCCTGAAAGGTGACACTGGTCTGGGTGCACAGACAGAAACCCCTGCATCAACAGACTCGGTCACCAAAGTCGACCCATGACAAATCTCAGCCAGGGTTTTGAATTTAGGCCCAAGGTCATTGAGAAATGCAAGGTCATCATCATTCTCAAGAAGGCTGCAGCAACCAACAGAACCTGCCAGGGACTCCTGACCCTCATAGTCATAGACCAGCAAAGCATCCTTCTGCTGGGATTGCTGTGCAGCATGGTTGGATTTCTGCAAACAAACAGAATATATTAAATCCATTAAATACTTAATTGGGACAGTATGAGAAAGCTTTTACGTGTCCTAACATATTGTATAATAAAAAAATAGCTATGTTCTATAAGATAGTTACATTCTATAAGATATATTCTGGGGCCAATCTGTTTTAAGCCTGGTTATCAATCCAGCAATGTAAGCTAATGCTAATAGTTAATTACTGACTCATCACTAAGACATTATAAAAACAAACTAAAAATTCCTAAAGGTTTTTGTTAATACTTGGATCAGATTTCTAATAACATTTTATGTACTCACACTTGAATAATAGTGCCCTAGGTACTGGTCCGAAAGAGCCATCCCATCAAAGGCCCCAGCCATGTATTGGGAGAAAACATTTTCTTGTCCTGTCATCATCCCAGCACCGGCGTAGTCCATCTCCACTTCGTTATACTGGTTGTATAGGTGCATTTTCTCAGCTGTCAAGGTTGAAGTGTTCATGGCACCTACTAAGGCTGCTCCGCCACCTGCTGCTCCGCCACCTGCTGCTCCTCCCACATAAGCCAGTCCTCCGAGATACCCCTTTCCCCCAAAGGTGGTGACATTCTTGGCATTAATTGTGCCACCATCAACTTCCACTGGGACATGCAGAAGAGGAACTTCCTGTGAGAAAAATATTAGATCCCATTAAAAGATGCAGCATTTTAGACACATGTATTTGACATATTTTTAAAACTAAAAATATATAAATATTGTATAAAGTCCATTCATATCAAGAATACACTAATCAAAGTACCTTATCTTCTCCCTGTCCCTCAGTGTGATATGAGATCAGCTGTTGTTTCGTATCGTTTGGAATGTGCTTGAAATCTCCAATAGCTGCTGCACCTCCGCACAGGCAGAACAGCAGCAAAAGGGGCACCACTGAAACACATATTTGACACTATGTCAGCAGAAATTGTAATAAAAATATAGTTGTCAGGACACATTAAGTTGAGTCATCAGTCAATAAATTACTTTTATTTATCAAAGCGATAAAAAAAAAAAATATGAATGAATGTAATGAATGCTAGAGATAAGAAAATATGCTACAGTATGTCTGATTAGGCAACTCTGTAGGGGAAAAATAATCATTCTAGTCAAAATAAACAGAAAAAGAAAAGCCAGTAATACTCTACTCACACAGAAGAAGCAGCAGTCCCAGGAGCAGAAGCAGGATACCTGAAGTTCCAAAACCAGAAGTCTTTTTACTGCGCGACACACAGGTTTTGGTGTCTTTATGGCAAGTACACACAATTACTTGCATCGTCTGAAAATCAGCACATGCATGTCCCTGCTGGTCTTTGACTTCCATTGTCACTTTGTAAATGCCCGGCCACAAGTTGTCGTTGTCCCGTAGAATGGTTGTGGTTCCTGAAGAAAGATGAGACCACATTCTAAAGCGTGCTACACGAGTTATGTTAGTCTGTTTGTGCCTTGTAATAAATAGTAATACACCCTTTCTTTTTACAGAAGTGATAGACACAGATGAACCTTTTTCATGACAGATATTTACTTGTCAAGGCAGGAAAAGCACAGGTGAGGCTGGGGTTGATTCAGTGATCCATACTAGTGATTAAACACACTAGCTTTATCTAAGTGTATTTTCAAGAGAAAAAAAAAACATGAACACTGATGTGCTTTACATTTTTTTGTACCAGTGTTTTTGGAGCTTAGAATACAGTGCATTTGATGCAAACTTGCCAGTTTGAACATGTTTGTGCTATTCATACAAATTTACCATCTGAAGCCAATGAAATGAACAACAAAAAGCATTAAAGTAATCAACATCTGTTTGGGAGTCTTTGGAAATCTAATGTTTTGGAATTTAAAACTAGAGCTAAATACAGAATTTGTCTAAACATGGGTATTTGACACAAATTTAATTTTATGATGGTTTGCAGTAAAGGTGTCAAGTTGTTGTATGTCTATTGTAATCTTACCATTAAGTGGCTCCACTGTCCATTTCCCCTGGCTGCTCCCTGGAATCACAGTGAACTCAAATGGGTTTGAATTGGGGAACTCATCTTCGTCTTTGGCTGTGACGTAGATGACATTATCCTCAATGCACTTGGTCTGAGTTGTAGTAGTCAGAGTAGGACAGTGATCATTATGATCCTTGACCTGAATGGCTATGGTCCCTGTGGCAGTTTTTGAGGGAATGTCTGAAAATCAATCAAATGAGAGGTTATTATTAAGCTGTTGTGCACCATATAAGTCCACTGGAGAATAATAACTGTCATACAGAACTCACCACTGGTGATGCATATGATTTTGGCATAATATGTTCCATTGACCAAGAACTTGGACTCTCTGTCAGGTATTTTATTCAGCCTGATATCTGCTGTCTTTGCATCAACAATCAACCAGTTGTCAACATCGTAGATCTTGGCATACCTATGAATATGAAAATCCACAGGACAAAATAAGCTATTAATGTACATATATCCATTCAGAGACACAAAGAGAGGTATCTATACATGTGCCTTTAAGCAACATTTTCACCATGTGGCTGTACCTTACGTTGGTGGCTGTCTGTAGCGTGTCACTGTCAATAGCAGCGTAAGTGGTGATGATTTTGTTGATAGAGATGGAAGTGTGGTCCTCAGAGATAGACACCACTTTAACGCTTGGTTGGAAACGGGGGCCTTCCTTCTGATTGACCACATTAATTTTAACGGGGTAGGTTTTGGTGATTATGTCCCCTGTCATGGACCCACTGCCAAAATTGTACTGTGCTTTGTTGCGAACAACCACTTCTAAGTTGAGTACCTTTAATTCTTCATAGTCCAAGGCCTGCAGATGCAAGGATATAGCATTCGCATTAGCCTTTGTGTTCACTGAATCACACTCATTCATTTAACTGTTTTAAATGTCCATCATAATAAGAATCTTTTACCTTCTGAATCATGATAATTCCCTCATTGGTCTTAGAATCAGTAGTGACAGTGAAATAGCCTGCCTCATTCCCTGAAATGATTTCAAAGACAGCCAGCCAGTTTTCAGTGTTAATCAGGTCCATGTCAATGGCTTTGATCCTCAGCACTTCCACATTGATGGTGTTTTCCTCCACACTCCCTTCATACTGCAAATAAAACACAAACCAACAGTTGCTTTAGAACAACTTTCAAACATGATCACAGAAGCCAGTTAATGAAGAACAGAAGTGTTGGTCCTGGTAATTGTGTCACACCTACCGACTCTTTTTCCAGGGTTGGAATATTGTCATTTATGTCCAGAATTTTAATTACAATTTCTCCGGTTCCTGTGTTTCCTCTCACGTCTCCATTCAAGTCTACGCCTTTTATAATCAACTTATATGTATCTTGTCTCTAAAAAAAAAGTAGATCGAAGACACAATGCAGTGATTAATACATTTTAGTTTTTTTTGTTTCGAGTCAAAGTTGTTGACTAATATGAGCATGATTCTGCCTAAAAATGTACAAACTGTGTCTTTCTAATTTACTGCTTACTACTAATTTTTGGTCCGTCAAGTGACTCACCTCTCTGTCTAGAGTGTTCCGTCTAACCATGACCTCTCCAGTGTGAGAGTTGATGAAGAACATCCCGGCTGAGTTGCTCTGCTCCACAATGCTGTAAGAGATCTGGGAGTTGATCGAGTTCTCTGCATCAGCATCAGTAGCTATCACTTTCATGACAACAGTACCTAGAAATCATGAATGAAATAATACACCAGTTCATTGAATACACATAAAAAATACTTTGTCATATTAGAAATATACTGTAGATATCTTAAAATACCTGCTGCACTTGATTCATTGACAAATCCAACTTGCTGTGCTTTAATGACCGGTGGGCAGTCATTCTCATCTAAAACAGTAATTTTAAGGTCCAAATCCTTTTCAGCTTCTGTCCCATCGGCGTATTTTGCCATACCTTTTAACTACAAAAACAGACATCACAACTAATGTATCGTTTCCTCACTGTACAACAGACATGGCTTTAAATGCTTCAGATTTTAAAAACAGGATGTATACAAGATACAGATCTTACATGATAGAAAGCGATTTTCTCTCGGTCCAGAATGGAGTAGATTTTCACATAACCAGTGTCACGGTCCACACGAAATACGCCTATCGGTGGTTGGTCAACACCAGCCCCCGTTAGATGGTAATATATCTTTGTGAAGTTCTCCTTATCAGAGCGAATCTGAAAAACAAACACACACGCACAAAGTGAATATACCTGATTGAGATATACATATATAATATAACATTCCAATTAGTACAATTTATTTACTGTAAGTTTTTATCATAAAATAACATACATCATTGAATGTCATTCAGATCATGTGAATGCGAGCAGGCATGTATAAAAAGGTGTGTGGCTCTGACGAGAACAACCACTCACTGATTACTGTTTGTTGGCAACCTAGGATGATACAATTACAATATGGCTCAGATCCTAAAACGTATTAAATGATCTGAGATATGAAACCACGTAGTCAAACATCAAACACAGGTGTGTGTGTGTTCCAGTTTTAAAAACAAGATTTGTTGTCAAGTATGTCTTAACTGATTCTTTGATAACATTAAAATGGAAGTTTGCTAGTGTATGGGGAGCTGATCTCACACATACTAACCACACTTTGAAAGAACAGAGGTGGTCTGAGGATACAAAACAGAGGGAGAACAAATAAAAAATGTAGTGGACAACAATGTAAATACTTTGATGAACATCGCTGTACCTACGTTAAATATTTCTTACATAATATTAAGTTTTAGTAGCATAGTTTGGACCGAAATAGAACAAATAAGTACACACTCTAGCAATAAACTCCAAGCCGGTGTAATCGTTGTTCTCATGGAGTTGCCTGGGAGCTACGATCCATTCTCTCTTCTGTCTGTGTAACTCTTTTCCTTCTGCCCTCACAGGAACAAGCTGCAGGTAAACAAAGAGGGAGGAAAAATTAATTAATAACGTGCAACTGTAAACTCATATGACATACTGTTACTGATGACTCACACACATGGCATTAGTTCACATATTATTTCTTTTACATCCCAGGGTTTTACTTTTTTTTTTTTTTAAGTTAGCCTCACAGCAAATTGATTGTTTTATTGTTGACAATAAAAAAAAATACGCCCCATCAATAAATTAATAATTTAATGTAGGCCTACAGTTTGTCATGCTCTCATTTACTTTACATTTAAAGGGGGACATCTCTAGAATGGAACGATGGAACTATTTTTTTAATATCACCACAAAACTTTAAACCTCCGCTATAGTCTGACTCTTCAGGACTTCCTCTAAAGTGTTCTTTTTTCCCCACATCTAGCACTTAAGAGGAGATCAATGTGGAAAAGCTGCTCTGCTGGAAAGGAACTAAAGAAAGAGCTGTTCCGTGACTGCGCAATAACTTTTTTTTATAACTTTTACTTATAATCTTTAACCGCCTACCCCGATGGTTTAACTTTGAATAAACAGACAAATACATGAGCTTAACAGCCCACCAGAGAAGAGCCACACCTGTTTAAGATCGGCTACTCTACACCCGATAATCTAACAATAAAGAGCGCACACGGAAATTTGTTGTACAAACCGTTAGGAAGGACGCCAGTAGAATAAAAAAGCCGCATTTCAATGGTGACGCCATCGGCCCTGAAACAAAAATATTAACTTAAATGTTAAAAACGCTCCCGTTGAAGTGAAATCGCGTCAACTCGACTATATCTCCAGTCTGTCGCTGGTTTCGTGCAGACTTTGACCTTATAGAGGGGCAGGGACTTTACAGCAATAGGCGGTTCCTCTCTCCGTTTCACTGCATCACTGATAAGGAGAAAGTAGGTGGTGTGTCCACTGTCTGCATAGCTTTAATGTCTGTATTGTCTTTTGCTGAGGCAAAAGCAAGTTTGAAAGGAAATAGCTCCACAATTGTTTCCAAAGTCTGTCGAAACCAATAGACATGCCTTTATTGTGAATCTGAAGTGCAAAGTGCTCATGTTTTTGGGGGATAAAAACTAAGCTTAACAATTCATTTGGACTTTTTGTACTATAGGATTAAGTATTTATAGTGGTGATACTCAGAATAAAAAAAATAAAAAATAAAAACATTTATTGGAGGTCTTTTAGTCCAACTTTCGCACTCATCTGTAAAACTTCACCTGTGCATGTGAAATTCCCAAGAGGTTCACTTGTGTTTCTGGGTTCAACACTCCTAAACATTCAGCTGCACACTGGGCTCTCTTTCTCTCTGTGTCTGTGCATGTCGGCATTTACAGAGAAAAAAAAGATAAAGGTAACTATTGGCACAGTGAGAGTTTGTGTTGCCAAACTTTCACTCCCGTGTCCAAATGTGTGTGGGAGAGGAAATTAAGTATCACTTAATCTTTCCTCATCAAACCATTTGTTTCTTTAACTGGAAGCCTACAATGTTTTTAATTATTTATTTTTTTTTTTTCATCTGTGTCTAACAGCAATATGAGCCCAAGGGTGACTGGGTGGTTTCAATGGTTGCATAAATGAGTCACCGCTGTTGTGTGAGACGGAAGGTCAAAGTTATTAATTCAGCACTGATTTGGCAGAAATTGCAATGTTCCAAATGCAAATGACCCAACAAATATTTAGAATAATCACTTTAATTTGTGTTTAGCACGTTCTGAAAATGCAGCAGAGTGAGTATCTTACATAAAATGTTGCATGAACTGAGTGTCTCCTATATGACATAATGTCTGACCAAAGCACTTTTGGAGGAAGCAACATTTCAATTGCTCCAAAATGCACCTTATTGTATGTGTGTGTATAATGGCTATTTTTACAGACCAATAAACATGATATGTTTGGGATATAGGTGCATTGTATTAGTTGCAATCATGCGATGTACTAGTCCACATTAAAACAGTGTTGTACAACAAATTTAAGTAGATTAGACAGCAGAATTAAAAGCTAATGTAGAATGTCCAGATAAGTAATAAATCCTGCATTTGTTAGTATTTCTATATAGCTTAGTTAACACTCGCAAGTTTAATAAATGTACCTCCTTAAAACTTTTCATCTTTCAACTTTTTCATGTTGTTTAAAAATGTGAATTAAAATAATAATTAAAAATATATATATAAGTCTAAAAAAACATGAGGGGCAAACATGTGATCTTCTTTGGCCAATTTGGAAATTTAGCTGAGTAAAATACACCAAAATGGATCGTTTTTGGCTCCCTAAACGTCCACGTTCTGAGTGACAACCTGAAGGGAAACGAGACTGTGAAGTTCTACGGTAAGTGCATGATTTTCCCCTCTGTTGGCTATTACAAATTTAATTAATTTGGTGGTTGAAGCACCAATCTTGGCTCTTCATAGTTACATCTATGATGCTCCAACAATAGGAACACTGCTGATTCATCATTAGACAAGTGTTGGTAACTGGCTGTGTGATTTCGTGATCTGAGCATTTTAGGCCGAAACGTGCACAGTGTCTGTTGCCTTGTGTTGCTGCTGTTTGCTGCTCCGTTGTATTCAGGGCTCGACTGTGACAGAATTGTGTGAAATATTATTTTCAGAGGTTTACATTGGGAGGCTTATGTATGTTGTATCTATAGCCCTTGTGTTGAACACTTTTACATATATATAGTCGCGGAACGAGTATAGTTAATGCGAGCGAGCACCTTCTCTTAAGTGTTGAGCATCCCAATAGATAGCACCTGCAACAGAAAACCTCTGGAGCCGCCACTGCCTGACCCTGATCAGTATGTGTGATTACAATTCAATCTCAAAGCTCCAGTCAACACCTCTCTAAAACACCTTTGATGTTTGATGTATATATTTCAATGTGGCCAGTATTACAGGTCCCATTATTGCATCACACATTAATCACACATTAGGAACGTCATTGTCTAAAAAGAAAAAAGCCCTGAGCAATGTTTCTCAACTAAATATGAACCATCACATATGACGTGCACGCCCCACCCTGCCTCCCGCTGGCTCTCACTCAAACGGGAGTGCAGAGAAGGGTGGAGTTGTTTGCGTCGCTGTCATACTTACCAGGAACTGTTACACCTTTGAAATTTACAATCTGAAATGTACTGTCGGCAGATATTTGTCATCATGCAACAGTGTGCTCCAAACTGGATCAACATCTTATTGAGCCACTGTAGTACCTGGGAAGAAGCATAACAATACTGACATGTATGACATGAAGACACATTGTGCGTATACTCCTTTCAAAGTTATGACTCAAAGGTCTTGAGAAATGAAGAGAAATGAATAGCTTTCTTCACACTGTACTACTCAGCAGAAACGTTATTAGGTAACTCTTTGTTAAAGACAGGACCTAATATTTTGGACAGTGTGGAAGATAGAGAGAATAAGTAGAAACATAAGCGTATCTGTTCATTCGTATGCTGTGCACTCTGTAAACAATCTGAGCGCAACAATAATTCACTTTCAGTTTAGCTTGGGAGTGACAGGAGGGTATTTTGCTGAGTCTGTTTCACATTTTGTGTTAAGGACTCCCAGCCCGAAGCCCTTTCATTACGTCCACGCCCACGACTCACAGCGGCTCAGTCTTCCTGACATTTTTCTCGCCTTTCCTGTCGCAGCCCCACATCGCCTCACTTCCCAGTGCACTTTTAAAACGAGGTCCAACCCCCATTACAGTAGGTCCAAGTCGGGCATGTTTTAAAGGACACGGGCCCAGTGTTGCTGGCTCTGCCCACTCTCACTTTTTATCAGGGGTTTATAGAGATAGTGAGCGCTTCGCTGTGGGAATGGAGCCTCCCCCACACCAGGCTCCATTCAGCACACATTCCTGCGGTGTTAAGTGAAGAGCCCAGTTCTGTTCCTCCTACCACAATGCTTCAGGGGAGCTGTAAGGGGAGACAATAGGGCCATGCAGGGGTCAGTCTCCTAGAGACCTGGGAGACTGACCAGATAGTCTTTAAAAAAAGATAGATAGAGAGATAGATAGATAGATAATTGAAAGGAAAAGGCGAAAACAACAGATTTTTATAACATGGACACTTTGTGCTTACACACCTGCTCAGCATGAATACAAACTTAACTTAATAGTTCTACGTCATTACAGTGCTTTTTAAAAGGCATTTGTATATCATATGGTAGGGTACAACAAGAACTGTTCCGTTGGCAACTTAAGTTTGTCTTTGTTTTCATGTCTTGCAACATTCTCAAAATTACAGAAGGACTTGAACTGAACGAATCTTTAAGCAATGTTTCCCCCTGCTGGCAGAAACCAACATTTGATTAGCAAACTTTCGGGGAGTTGACTTGTAGGAGTTCAGCGGAATATTGAGCCCTTGCTGCCTGAAGGTGCCTCGCCTGCTGATCCTTGCAGGGAGGCTCGCAGTCTGGGTGTGTCCGTCTGTCAAGGTGTGTCCGTGTGTTGAGTCACTGTCGGCAGCGACAGACATCCGAGCGAAGTTCTTCTTCTTCTTTTGAGCTTTTAACTGAGACGTTAATACATCATCTGTCACTCTCCTGTCGGTGACCTTCCAGCTTCCTCCTTACGGACCAGGGGGAAGTTTATCGAGCAGTTTTCGTAAAAATGGCGAATGTTTTAATTTTCAACATTTTCCTGGTGCTGGTGAGTGCTTCCCCCCCTTTTTTTTTGTATTGTATATCCTCTGTGGTGAAATAAAAGTCCTTATCGTTACAAATGTAACGTGAGGCCATCGTGTTTATGCTTTTACCATCTGTTTTTTTTGTCGATATTGAAGAAGAATGTTTGTTATAATGTAATAATTTGCTGTTAAATGCGCGCGAACTCGTTATTAATGGTCTTTTACGCTGTCTTTTATTCGTTACGCATTTTTTTGAACTGAAACTCACTTACTGCTTCAGATCCTGCCGAGTGTGGAGTCCTGTTTTATCCCGAAGTCTATACATGTACAAGTGCCACAAACAATTCAGGCTGGATACCAAATCACAAGAGGTACTTAAACTGATTATGTAACTCTTTAAACTTTATCGTTTACAGTTTCCTCCTATTACAGCTTGAATTCTTTGGCTTTTGTTAATAACTATCCCCCCCCCCCCTTATCTTTCCCTTTCTCCCCTTTCACGTCAAGTCACCGACTGTGACAGCAATTCAGTGCACCTAACATCGAAGGACCCGAGTTTCACAGTAGAACCTAATGGAGAAATAGTAGCTTTGACTGCTGTGTCAGTGGCCACTACGGGGCGGACATTTTCTGTGTGGGCTCAGGACAACAGTGGATTGGGAAGTGAGATGGAAGTTCACCTTGTCCGCAGCACAGTGCAGGAAAGAAAGGTAAGATTGTATTGTGCGTGATTGTGTCCCCTTGTAAAGTCAGTGCACCTGTCTTGAAAATGTCTTGACCTGTTTTGCATGTCTCAGCAGACAGGCCAAGGCTTCCTGAAGCGCTCCAAGAGACGTTGGAGTCCTCCACCCTTCAACATACTGGAGAATGATAAGGGGCCCTTTCCAAAAAACATTGAAGAGGTAATCTTAGCCCTGAGAATATAGGCTACTTCAGCATATATATTTATCGTCTATTTAAGGTCTTTATTGCAGCACTCATCATACAAATTCTCTTAATTTTTCTTTTTCTTAATCTTCTCCAGAATATGTAATTCGCACACCTATTAATGAATGACATGTCTCTCGGCTGACTTTATGTCATAATTAATTCTTGTGGTGTGTTTATGCTTGCTTTACAAGACTTTGTAAAACTGTCTAACTTTTGATAGATGGCTTTTAGATTTGATTGATTGATGAATTGTGTGAGCAGTTTACATGTGTCTA